GTTGTCTTCACAATATCCAGTCCTGATCATGGCCAATATAGTTTTATTTGTAAAGCTCCAACATCTAGCTGGGCGTGTTCAGTGATTGGGTAAAATATGTCATCAGTACAGTACAGGGGCCACGTAAAATGTCTAATGTGAAATGAAAGGAACGAGGGCCCCTCTCAGGGGTGACTGGTCTGCCCTCTTCCTGTGTGATTGGTCAGTATACCGTACCGTCCTGTGTATTGCGGTTCTCATACATTCTGTCTCCTGATCCCCCGCAGCAGAAGAACAGGCTAACAAGAGGCGGCAGATGCAGGAAGCGGAGGACCTGTACCAGCTGGGCATGAAGATTCTCAATGGGAGCACAAAGAGATCTCAGAAGAAGGAGTATGTTGTATATATAGTGTGTGTCCTTCCCCTACCCCACCCTTCTCCCAGCCCAGCTTCTCTATAAGACTTTGCACCACTTACATATTAGGAACCCTCTGATGTAGGTTAGCTAGTCCCAAGTACCCCTTTACATGGGGGCATGTTATATACTACAACCCCTTAGCACTTCCTGCCCGCCATCTGTAGATGAAGGGTCCCGTACACAATGCTCCATCCAGAGGCAATGTAAATCTGCATTTCCCTTTACTCTCTGTATTGGCATTGCTTGTGTCACATGTGAACCCCCCCCACCCCCCATGGCCACGTGGGTCTTGTTCTAGCCGGATGTGAGATCTTGGCGCTGTCCTGTCCCAACCCTCTCTGTCCTCCTCTCCCTGCAGGGCCTTCCAATACTTCATCAAAGCTTCAGACATGACTCATGTGAAAGCAATGGAGAAGGTGGCTTATGCTTTACTGTTTGGGGACCCCGTAAAGCAAGACATCCTTGCAGCTAAAGATCTCCTGGAGAAACTGACCGAGCAAGGATCCCCCAGAGGACAGACGGTAAGCCGACCTTGTGATTTGGATTTGTAGGACGTGGCACTTCTCCCCCCTGCCAGACCTCTAATAATTCTCCCCGATACACTTCCTGTGTTTCATATTCAGCATCGAATACACAATGGGGGGAATTTATCAAACCTGGAGATGACGGGATCTGGAGCAGCCGTGCACGGCAACCAATCAGCATTTCTCTTTCATTTTCAAATCCTAACTGAACAAACTAAAGAGAGATGCTGATTGGCTGCCGTGCACGGCTGCTTCAGTTTTGATAAATTCCCCTCATTGTGTTATTTCTATCAGCAAACTTAGTCCTCAGCGCAGCTCCTCGCACAGTTCGGAGCTGGTTCATGTTATATATTTGTGCTGCACATATGGGTTCTGTACGTCGGGCTGAATGATTTTCGGAGCACCGGGCAGCAGGTCCTGTGAGCAGTTCTCTTATCTCAGTTCTCCGTGTGTGGATATGCAGCCGAGTATTGCTTTATTCCTCTTCTATAACAACATGGATATCACGTTGATCTCGGGGCCGGTGCACACCTAGGCAACACCTCACCGTGCGGCAATCGTGCACAATTCCGCGCGGTCAGGAGTCGCCTAGGTGTACACCGATCGCGCTTTGGGTGCCATTATTTTCTAATGGCTCCATCCAGAGGCAATGTAAATTAGTTTCTAATGGCACCCCAGTCGCGCCGGGGCGGATTGCGCGGTTTCCCATTGCAATTCCACCCATGCAATCAAACACGATCGCAGCTAAAACAGTTGCGTGTCGTGTTGCAAAAAAAGGCACATGTACCTTTTTTCTGCGATTGCCGCACGGATGCCACCCCATTTGAAATCAATGGGGCCGCGCGGCAATCATGGCCTGCATTGTGCGGGACCACGCAATCCCGGATCACGTAGGTCTGCACCGGGCCTCAGGGCACGTTCACACCAGATGCAGCCCGATTCTGGCCAGAACGCACTGCCTCACATTGCGGCCTGCTCACTTTTTAGTGGGTCAGGAGGGGGCGTGGCGGGCCATTGAAGTGAATGGCAACGTAGCCACGCCCTCTGGACACAATGTGATCAGCCGCACGAGGCGCATTATGCCTGCAAGCACTATTTAGATCGCACCGGACCACAGGCGATAATGTGCCTTGCAATCCTGTGCGGCCAATCGCATTGCGGCCGGAGGGCGTGGCTACGGTGCCATTCACTTCAATGGTCCGCCACGCCCCCTCCCGCCGGACAAAAAAGTGAGCCGGCTGCGATGCGAGGCAGTGCGTTCTGGCCAGAGTCGGGCTGGAACGCACTGCATCCGGTGTGAATGGGCCCTCGAGAAGAAAACGGGACTTTTCAGGTCCTCAATGTGGATGTAGCACAATATCTCTCCTAAAATTGTTTTATTATTAAAACTAAAAATCTCAAAAAAATGTAATAAAAGTGACTTCAGATTGGTAGACGATGCATTTCATCACATGAAACCATGATTTGATGTAGAGCCGGCGTGTCGTAACCCCTCATCCTGTCCGCGCAATGTCAGGTCTACACAAGCCATATGGTCACAGTACAATAGCCCGTGTTGGGTAATTTGCAGACCATTGGATAGGAACACGTGATGAGAAGGCGAAACAAACAACACTACGCGTTTCTCAGACCAGCAGTCTACTTCTGGGGACAGACGGAGGTTGTTAATGTGCAATTACCATCCGCTCTCTGTCTCCTGAAGAAGTAGACCGTTGTTCTAAGAAACTCTGCGGGGGGGGGAATTTATCAAACCTGGAGCAGACACAATCAGGAGCGGTCGTGCATGGCAACCAATCAGCTTCTCTCTCTCGTTTTTTCCAGTTAAGATTTGAAAATGAAAGAGAGAAGCTGATTGGTTGCCGTGCACGGCTGCTCCAGATTTTGTCTGCTCCAGTTTTCATAACTTCCCCTCATAGTGTTTGTGTGACGGCTTCACGTCTTATGTTGATTTTCCTTTTTATGTATTAAACCGACCTCGTTTCTTCAGTAAATTATCTTTGAAAAGTCTGTGACCTCGCCACCTACATATGAAATGGATCTGAACCACAACTGGGTTCACACAAGATATCTGCTGCTGTTCCTAATTATGCTGTGTTTGGTGAACCGGAAAAAATCACAAACACGGGGTTAACGGTCTATGAAGATTCTACTTTATTCAGGGCGGTCTCTCTCTTTTATACACAGATAACAGGAGAGTGCTCGTCACACATATGCCCACCTCTGTCACCTCTAAATGTCTTGTACTATTGGGCAAACTAGAGGGGCTGCTAGAGTTTTGTGTCTCTCGCTAATTGGTTAGTCAAAGATATCTTCTGCCTGTAGCGTCCTCCCTCGGCATTCTTTTCATGTATCCTCAGCGCACTTCCGGATACAGAATACATCTTGGTTACGCATAGCAACGCTAAAAAGCTGAGTAAGGAAAGTCACAAAGCTAGGAAGCAAACGATACAAATTCAAACGTAGGAAAAGACATTTTCTTGATATGATCCATATTCCTTCACACATAGAGAAACTGCAGCTATGCCCAGACAGCCAGACGAGGTATAAAGGAAGCGCAAGATCACTTCCTGTCACTGCATGGCTAGAACAAACTACAATCCCCATCATGCAATAGGAACTGTGGTGGCCAGTGGGCATTAATGTTGGGTGTGAATGGGCGGGGCAGACCAGCCAAACGGCCTGTCAGTCAAATTTTGCCATGTTGGTGGGCAGGAGTCTGAGATGCCCGGGGTCCTCCCACTACAGCCAGCAGTGACGTCTTTATGTTGCCGCTCTTAAGGCAAGAACTCCAGCAGGGATGTCACATGACCGCTGGCATAGGGAATACATGGGCACAGTGGCCCCAGTGGCACGATCGGGAAATAAGGGGCACCGCGCTCTCATTATGCTGGTTTCTGGCAGTGATTCCACAGTGGCTGCAGCGCTGGATTACAATGTCCATTCTAAAGCTGCTGAGAAATCTCTGTCTGGAGTTCAGCTTGGGCCCCATTCACACTAAGCGACACTTACCTCGAGCGGATTTCCGCGCCGCCGGGATAGCGCGACTGGGCGACACCGCCACCGTCGGGGCTGCATGCGAAAAAGAGAGAAATCGCGCGACATCCGCGGGGGGAAAAGGGTCCTGCACAGGCGACATGGAGCTGTTAAATAGAAAGGCTCCATTGAAAATCATTGGACGAGCGACTTCTCGCGATACCGCGGCAGAAAGCGCGCGATTATACGCTCGGTGTGAACGGGCACTTAAATCGCACACATTGCATTGTGATACCTGCATCTCGCTGATGTCGTCATTTTATAAGGAAGTCGTTCTAAAGCCCTTCACCATCTTCTCTATCTCCAGGCTCTGGGATTCCTGTACGCCTCGGGGTTAGGGGTGAACAGCAGTCAGGCGAAGGTAACGCCCTCGTCCAGTTATTCCTCCACATTGTGCAGTCTGTGTATGTATGCGCCATGTCACCCTGATATTGTGTCCCCTCCAGGCTCTGGTCTATTACACGTTTGGAGCGTTGGGAGGAAATCTCCTCGCACACATGGTTCTGGTAAGTCCAACATCTGCAATTACTGACCCACAGTCGTGATTCATGGAAACTTGGGAAGAATGGAAGGGTAGCACTGAAGCCATGGGATGGTCCGATTCCTGACGGAAGAATATCAGTATCTGCAATCCAGAGGGTATCTGGATTGTGGGGCCGGCAGCTTCTCCACAACGCAGGAGCGAGGAGGGGCATCAGAGAGCCTGAGACTTGACGTGCCACACCGAAAATGAACCTTCTGTGTGTTTGTGTGTGTATTTATTAGGGATGCACCGACGCTAGTATTGGTATCGGTGCCGAGTATTTGGGCGAGTATTCCTACTCGCCCAAATGCTCCGATGCCTAGCCCTAGTAATAACATCCACAAGCTACATATATACCCCATGTAATCAAATCATTAGTGATGAAGGTCACCTAGTGATGAGAAGCACAGGGGCGGCTTCCCTGCTAATCGGGAAGCCGGGTGGCGAGTCATTACACACCGCCTTGCTTCCTGAATGGGACTTGTGGTACTCTGTATTTGGTATCGGTGCATCCCTAGTATTTTTATTTATAGTGTGTGTGTGTGTGTGTATATATATTACACACACATGCTCTTTATTGTGTATGTGGTCACTGGTTCTCATGTGTTTTCCCTGCTGCAGGGTTATCGGTACTGGGCCGGGATCGGCGTGCTACAGAGCTGCGAATCTGCTCTCACACATTACCGCCTGGTGGCCAATCATGGTGAGGATTGTAACAATATGATGGACTAAATGTGTAAGATCATCATTTCTGCTCCCCACTTTGCTGCATGCTCCCTCCCCGCTGCTCCCCACGGTGCTGCATGCTCCCTCCCCGCTGCTCCCCACGGTGCTGCATGCTCCCTCCCCGCTGCTCCCCACGGTGCTGCATGCTCCCTCCCCGCTGCTCCCCACGGTGCTGCATGCTCCCTCCCCGCTGCTCCCCACGGTGCTGCATGCTCCCTCCCCGCTGCTCCCCACGGTGCTGCATGCTCCCTCCCCGCTGCTCCCCACGGTGCTGCATGCTCCCTCCCCGCTGCTCCCCACGGTGCTGCATGCTCCCTCCCCGCTGCTCCCCACGGTGCTGCATGCTCCCTCCCCGCTGCTCCCCACGGTGCTGCATGCTCCCTCCCCGCTGCTCCCCACGGTGCTGCATGCTCCCTCCCCGCTGCTCCCCACGGTGCTGCATGCTCCCTCCCCGCTGCTCCCCACGGTGCTGCATGCTCCCTCCCCGCTGCTCCCCACGGTGCTGCATGCTCCCTCCCCGCTGCTCCCCACGGTGCTGCATGCTCCCTCCCCGCTGCTCCCCACGGTGCTGCATGCTCCCTCCCCGCTGCTCCCCACGGTGCTGCATGCTCCCTCCCCGCTGCTCCCCACGGTGCTGCATGCTCCCTCCCCGCTGCTCCCCACGGTGCTGCATGCTCCCTCCCCGCTGCTCCCCACGGTGCTGCATGCTCCCTCCCCGCTGCTCCCCACGGTGCTGCATGCTCCCTCCCCGCTGCTCCCCACGGTGCTGCATGCTCCCTCCCCGCTGCTCCCCACGGTGCTGCATGCTCCCTCCCCGCTGCTCCCCACGGTGCTGCATGCTCCCTCCCCGCTGCTCCCCACGGTGCTGCATGCTCCCTCCCCGCTGCTCCCCACGGTGCTGCATGCTCCCTCCCCGCTGCTCCCCACGGTGCTGCATGCTCCCTCCCCGCTGCTCCCCACGGTGCTGCATGCTCCCTCCCCGCTGCTCCCCACGGTGCTGCATGCTCCCTCCCCGCTGCTCCCCACGGTGCTGCATGCTCCCTCCCCGCTGCTCCCCACGGTGCTGCATGCTCCCTCCCCGCTGCTCCCCACGGTGCTGCATGCTCCCTCCCCGCTGCTCCCCACGGTGCTGCATGCTCCCTCCCCGCTGCTCCCCACGGTGCTGCATGCTCCCTCCCCGCTGCTCCCCACGGTGCTGCATGCTCCCTCCCCGCTGCTCCCCACGGTGCTGCATGCTCCCTCCCCGCTGCTCCCCACGGTGCTGCATGCTCCCTCCCCGCTGCTCCCCACGGTGCTGCATGCTCCCTCATAAATCGTAATACATCATATCAATCATAAATCGGTATTTAAATACCTTTTTATTTCCCACTTGGTTTTCGATGCAGTCATGTGATCACAAAGCCCGGCTTCTCCTGTGATTTGGAGGACGCACATCAGCGAGATATGGACCTGACAGAGTGCTTGTGTGAGCAGAAGACAGAGCCGGGTTTTTGCTGTCAACCTGCTGGGATCCTGTCACTCTCTTACATGCCGAAGGAGAAGTTTGAGTACTTCACTGCGCCTACAGACATGTTGTGTCTGACTCCATCAGTCTCCTGCTGTACAGTTATCTGGGGCAGTACAGTCAGAGTCTTTCTCATGGTGGCTCCTCTGATTGGGCGGCACTCTCCTTATGAACTGCATGTGATTTTTTTTCTTCTTTTTTCTTGGGAGTACAAGAGCATTGTGTTTCCTTTTTTCTACTCTATTGGGGGCGATCAGTTATAAGCTCCCTCGGGGCAGAGACTGATAGAGTTGTATTTTAAAATGTATTCAGAATTTGTTGCTGCGCTCAATGTCCAGCAAACCATCGCCAGCATTATATTGTCATCTAGGAAATGTGACCTCATAATCAGAATGATGACCTCATAATCTGCTCTCCTGATGCCACTTCTCCAGTAGAACATACGACTGCCGGACGAGGTGGAGAACCCAGGCATGGCCAGCGGGATGCTGGAGGAAGACTTGATTCAATATTACCAGTTTCTGGCGGAGAAGGGAGACGTCCAGGCACAGGTTGGCTTTTCAGAGAAATTCATGTTCAACAACTCGCAGCTAATACTGTAACATGTTGCAGACACTGGGGGTATTTTTCAGATGGACTGATCTGGTCATAGTAATGAAAATTGATACCGCCGTCGTCGTCTTTCTGAAAAATAGAAACTAAGTTTCAGCTTCATTCTCTGTTCTAGACTTGAAACGGCCGTGACATCTGATTGGTCCAGGCCTGCCCAGCTCCCTTGTCTATGCATCTGCACATCTTTCAATGTATTGTACACCAGTCATGTCTTATCAATGGTCTCTTACCTTCCAGGTGGGTCTGGGGCAGCTTCACCTACACGGGGGACGCGGAGTAGAGCAAAACCATCAGGTATGTCAGATCTGGCTGAGGTAACCTGGTGTTCAGCAATGTAGAAGTTTGCACAATGAGCAGTGCTGGTTGTGTGTGTTGTGTGTGTGTGTGTGTGTGTGTGTGTGTGTGTTATGATCAATGTTAGATGTGTGTGTGTTTGTATGATGATCAGTGCTGGGTGAGTGCTGTGTCTTGTATAATGATCAAATGCTGTGTGTTGTGTGATGATCAGTGTAGATATGTGTGTGTTGTATGATGAGGAGCGCTGTGTGTTGTATGATG